AAAAAAGTGTAATTGTTTGTTTATTTACATGAAAAAGGATGCACTGACAGGATTTTAATGAAGCTAGATAGAACTTAAGAGCTAAAGATGGTCTAAAATGTGACACTCATGAAGAAATACAAGAGAGAGTGGCCTGGGACACTAATGGTAACATCTCGAGTTGACCCATGATGAGAAAATATAGAGAAAGCCACTCTTAATAATTTCCAAATTACGCAGTTGTGAAATGAAGCGAAGACCTTTACACTCAGGGTCATAAGTGCCACTAATAGCCTAGCTCAAAAATCAGGAAACAAGCTTCCCGTTGGAAAAGGCCTTCTTTGACAAAAATGGATCCGTCCATGCTTGCCAACTGTCTTTAATCACCAGGGAAAGGACTTCTGTCTTTTTTCCCATTGACAATTTTTACATTATTGAAAAAGTGTCTGATTCATATCTTTTAATTATCCACACTTCAAAACTATCTATTAAACACCTATTATTGACTTAGCAAAGGCAGGGTTTCCCAAAATAAATAAATAAATAAACAAATAAGATATGGAAGGCAGTCCTTGAGAGTAGAATTGAAATATAGAACAGTTATTGGCATCTGCTTTGGATTCTGAATTATGTGCTACAGAACTAAAGGATGGGAAAGAAGCTCTTAGGGCAGAAGCCTGAAGGATTTATACACTTGCATAGATGAGGGAACAGTGCTAAGGGCATTGTGGGTAAGAGGAAGACAGGAATAAAAAGATGCAGATTGAACTGAGAGCAGTCTGTTTATAGCACGGAATTAAGGGTCCATCTGTCACTGGCTTATTTATGCCTCAGACGCAAGCCCAGAGCTGGAATCACATTTCATTGGCTTAACTACTTTATTTTACTTAGAGAGATACATTTAATAAATGAGAATATTTTTCTGGCTAGCTACGTGACCAATGAAAAATTATGTTTGATTCATGATACATGTTGAGCCAAAACATATTTGCCTTATCAGAACCTTCAACTTCCATGAGGCCTGGCCTTATGAGTTATCCCCTCACAGAATATAAACAGTTACAGAAGCATGTTGTCTCATGCAGGCTCAAGAGTGCTTAACCTTTGAAAATCCATTTCTTAAGTTTGTTGCTGTGAGCTGGCATCCAATTGCCCCGGACTCATGGTGGGTGACCTCATACACAAAGGAATGAAAGATGGCCTAGTCCTAGCCCATCCCCATTATTGGCTGTGAGACCTGCCATTGTGATCCATAGAGGTTTCACAGACTTTCACAGGCTGATTTTCAGAAGTAGATCACCAGTTCTGTCTTCCTAATCTGTCTAAGTCTGGAAGCTCCACTGAAACCTGTTCAGCATTATAACAACACCCAAGCCTCCACTAACACAAGGGTGGTGGCTGTGCATGGCATGCATCAAACCCTGCATCAGCCACACTGATGTGAGTCAAATCCAACTCATAGCGACCCCTCCTTGGGTTTACGAGGCAGTATCTCTGCGGAAGTAGATTGCCTAGTCTTCCTTCTA